GCAGAGTAAGTATCACGCTTTTCAACACACTACAAAGATGTTTCAGCCTAACTAAAAAGCAGAATGAGCACACTGCAACTCAGCTGGCTACAGAGTCATACATTTCCTGATGCAAGCTTCAAATGTGTACTTATTATTCAGACAGCTGCCAAGGTTAATATCTTTTGGCTGAAGCAATGGTGACCAGTTTTTGTAAAAAGCTGAGTAAGCATTTTGAACACTATCCTGGCAAACCACTGGTAGATTTAGAGGTAGGGAGTCATTGTTCACTCAACCGCAATAATATATTCAATTTAAAACCTATTCAAATCTTAGTGGAGAATTGCAGTATCTTCAAAGAATCTGCCACAGTCTCCTAAATTGATTGTAATGGAGAAACAAATCACTTAGATTTTTAAAGAAAGCTGGTATTTCTCATTAGAAATGAGTCCAATTTTTCTTTACTACATCAACAAAATGCATTGTATATGCCCCTTATTCCAACTCGTAAATAAGTTATACACAAGCCCTACATTATACACCACACCCAAAGTAAACATAAATCTATACTTGAAGGATGTGATAATATGCTCATTAGAATGCAAGTCACATGTGCAACACCCAAAAGACATAGAAGTCAGGCTTGTAAATGAAGAAAAGTTATTTTTGATTGCACTTCTGAATAAGAGTGGACACTCTTACAAGGTGAGCAGGGCTTTGCATACAATTAGAGGACTGTGTAAAATGCATTTGGACCATCTGAATTAGAAAAGGAAAAGATTCCTCACAAACACACCTTTAGTATATGCAGCTCTAAGAAATCACCTATTCATACTCTTCTATAAAAAATGTAATCACTACTGAAAAGCCTAATTAGGACCTGTCATATACTACTGTACAACCAATTTTTAGATGTTTTAAACATCCATCAAGCTGAAACCGGACAATTTTTCATCCCAGATGCACTTTTAGTGGTCTTTTCTCACCCTATGCACGAGTAAAGTCCTGCTGAAATGAATGGATATCATGGACATGTAAGGAGAAAGTATTCCTCTTTATTGTTTTGGGGAATGGGATTTAAAAAATAATGAGGAAGTCATTCTGACTGTTTTTCATGGTTGCAGATATTTGTAGAGTAAGCCTCAACAGATATTAGCCAAGATGGTCAAGGACGTAACCCCATGCCCTGGATGTCCCTAAGCCTCTGACTGCCAGAAGCTGAGACTGGACAACAGGAGATAGATCACTCGATAAAATGCCTGGCTCTGTTCATTCCCTCAGAAGCATCAGGCATCGGCCAATGTTGGAGGACAGGGTACTGGGCTAGATGGACCATTGGTATGACCCAGTATGGCTATTCTTATGAAAAGCTAGTCCAACAAATACCGCAGCCTGTAAAGAAGAATAGCTATTTTACTTAACTACAAGACAAGCTTTAACAGCCAAGCTATTGAGGCTTTTAAATAACTAAATATGAGAAATTACTATTACACATTCCATACTACATATCACATACATAGGTGTTTGGTTTCATCTCTCCCACTGTCATTAATTATGTACGTACATGAAGAGATGCACAGACCCCTGTGCAGCATGGAGATTATACTAAACCTCATTAATGTCAATGGGTCTCCAAGGCCTTCTACAATGTCAAAACATTTACCAGGATTTTTCATATTAAGAATATTAGGCATCAACATGATACTACTATTTATCTGGATTTGGGCCATTACTCTCAGTCAGCAATATTCTTTATTCCTAGTGTACAGCACACTATAGTTTGCAAATTTTCTCCTCAGTGCTAAGGTACTATGGCTGAAAGCAAAGGGGGGTGGGGAGGGAGAAAGGGTTATCATCATGATATCTGGGGTCTATTCTGTTTACACATATAAATTCCATTAATTCTAATGGAAGTCTCCATGTGCCTCTATGCTAGGATGCAACCAGAAACATTAGCCCTACCACTGAATTTCCTGCTTTTTAAAGTTATAGGAGATATAAACCATTGTTAACAATTGACTAATCAGGATTTTTATTTTATTAAACACATATTTTGGAGTATATCACCCAATAATCTGTTGTGTACACCCTCCTCCCAGTACTCGTTGCTGTCTGCCATTTAAAAATGTATGTTAGTACACATAAAAAAATGCAATGTTGTCTAATTTTACATCTTAACACTACTTGTGCTTCTATAGGACTTTTCATTAGTAATGTTGTTATCCTGCTCATTTTACAATTTGGTCAACTGAGGCACACCTTGGGTAAGTGGTTTGCCCAATATCTCAAAGCTGGAAAGTGGAAAAGCTAGAAATAGAAACGTGAAATTCTGATTCTTTATCATCTGCTCTTACTATTAGATAAGATTTCCTTCCACTTTGTGCAGCTGATTTTGATGCATAATGTCCAACACCTTCAAATCAATCTTTGGAGTTAGATGGTTAAGTGTGAAAAGAACACCAATATTTAAAAGCACATATCCATGATACTACAATGAAGTACTATGCCAATTTACCTGCTACATTGGCACTGAGATACTAACTACAGTGATGGGCCCACACAAGTCAATCTTGAATTTCAGAAGGATATGCACTCATCTGAAGCAGAATTTAGCTTTTCACTTACACGCTGAAGTGCCTTCCGAAATGTTATTAATAAAATGTTACTACACAAGCCCTGTAGTTAAATGCTTCCTTAGCCATTTTATTCTATTCAAACGTATGAAAAGCAATTATTCCATTTCCTACCCAAAATTTCATTTTTCCCTTATCCAAACAATTGTCAAATAATACAAGCAAACTACACCAAATAATACACCACCTCCAAACTATACTTACATGCAGCTAAAACAAAAATCTCATACAAATCTACCCACTCAAAAAAAGAAAAAGAAATAAAAATACTCGCTCTCCGCTCAACACCTAAAATATCACATTAAAATGCATACAAATTTTATGACAATGATGAAGTCTCAAAAAATGGATTTTATCATTAAAACACTGACAAAAGGTTCAACTACAGCAGAGCAAACAGCAACACTATAATTTAGCAATCTTTTTAGATACTAAAGTCTGATTCCAACAAGGTGCCATTTCTGCCTCATGTTCATTATTACCTTAAATAATGAAAAATGCAGTTTACTCCAGAGCTGCCAGGGCTTCAGTAATAAGGGTATGATGATCTCACAATAACTGAAGCATTTTAAGCAAGACACCCGCTGTATTATAAAAATAGCCTGTTCCACAAAAGGAGAGGCATGATTTCACACTTAGCTTCTTTCATGACAGCCAGAGCTTTTGCAGCTAACGGCCTTGCCTACATGTTATATTTTAATGATCTGAGAAAATTGTTATCAGAGTTATCCTTGCTCTCTAATTTTACTCCAAACAGAGTGGGGGAAAGCATCATCTCTCAATAAGCACTATCTTCTTTGCAGACCCCACTAGGCAGGAAAGAAATTAGCTTTTTTTGTTAAATACATTCAACAGATGAAATTAACAGAAAAACTGCTCTGAAGCAAAAAGATGTCATCTGAGAAATGAAGAAATGATCTGATGCTTGCCAGAAACCATTAAAATTGGGTCTCGTTTACCACAAGGACACTGTCAATAATAAAATTATTTTGCAGGCTGTTACACACACTGAGCAACTACACTGTTTGGCAACAACTTGCAGTAAGTTACAAACTAGCTTGAAGACAGGGTTTGAACCCCAAGCACACGCAGGCATTTTACAAGTGAGTGTGACCAATACCTCCACGCAGGTGTCTAATGAAATAAATAGCTGAGCCACTCTTAAAGAAAAGCCACAGAAGCAAGCAAGCAAGCTACAGAAAGGACCCTCTTTCATGGGGCAGTAACTTCGAAACTACACACACACCCCCAACATCTCTCCACTGCAGAACACCGCAACGTGACCACTTACCCGAAGGGGAAAGTGGGAGAAATCCGGGAACTGAACAGTTTCACGTCGCGATACACATAAGATCCCGAACACAAAACCCCATCAAAGGAAAGGGGGAGGTGGAGTCGGGTTGATGAGAAGAGCTTTACATACAAGGTGGCTATAAAGGGGGGTCTGGCAGGAAGTATTTAGCCACCCAGCGAGGACAAAAATTCACACTCTGTCACATTGCTTAAGGGAAGTGTGTGCAAGGAACCCAAAGGGAAATGCAATCCCAATTGCTTTGCTTTTTAGCAGCACCCTCCTCGCTTTATGTTAACCTAGGCATTCTTTGCTCGCCGGGGGGCTTGGATCCAACAAATGCATAGCAAAACCTATGGGTGGGATTTCCTTTTTTAAGAAAGATCGAGCCAGTCGCCGAAGCACAAAAGAGCTAAAATGCCCAAATAAAAGATGCGAAGGGGAAACAAGGAGGAGGGGGTAGACAAGGGGTCTTCGCCTCATCCCCCCTCCTCTCGCTGCTCGTTAAAAAGGCCTCGAAATCTGACAGCTGCTTTCCTCCGCTCGTACAAAACAAGAGCCCCCGTGCCTGACTTATTACTCTTGTGCTCCTCCTCCTGCTTACTCAAAACACCCATCACCATGCATGCAATATACCATCTACACTTTCCTCTGGCGCGCACACTAAAGCAACTGCGAGCTGACCATCATTCGACACCCTCTCTCTGCTCCTCCTTCATCCCCACCATAACGCCCATAAAAGGCACCCTTTGCGGTGGTCCCTAAGCGTCAAGCTAAGCTAGTACCGGCCAGCAACAAACAGCCGAGCTGGACTCACTCACTCGCTCTCTCTCTCACACACACACACTTCAGATCCTTTTACACACTTTCAGTTACGCAACGTTTCTGTGGTTGGTTCCCACTTTTAGAAATTACTGTTCGCCCTCCTGCGAACCTGAGAGCGGGGCTCGTTTTTAAATATGCCCCCGCAGCAGCTGGCTCGGAGAAAATCCGCCCCTTCTCTCTCTCCCCCTTCCCCCCCGCTCTCCCAGCTGCACACCCACCAAACTTCAGCTCCATCATTCCCCGGGAAAAAGAGCTGCGAAAAGGGTGCTCACCTTCTTCGCCTGCAACTTCCGATCCTTCTCCTCTCGCTGCAGCCTCCCCAGCCCGTTGGGGCTCGGGGGCAGAGTGGGACGTGGAAGGGGGTGGGGTGGGGGCTGGATTTGCTGATGAGGGAGGGGGAGGGTTATTTTTTGCGATTAGGAATGTGCACCCGCGGAGACGCACCTCACATGGCGATGGCTTAAAAACCAGCTGCCTCCAAAGTCTTTGCAGAGAAAAATAGAGGGAGGGGACGGGGAGCAGCAGGAGGAGGAGGGAAGGCTGCAGCAGGGGAGGGGGACGTGGGGAGGGGGAGTCGCACAGGAATCGCTACGCTGCTGCTGCTGCTGCACTCGGGACTGGCGGCGGCTGCACAAGGCGGTGGCAACTCGGTGCCTTCGCAGCCCGGCGGCGTGTTGCTACTGCTGCGGCGGCTGCCCCCGTTCTGTTGGTTACACTCTCCCCGTGGCTCGCGCTCTCCCCAACGGAACGCCGCCTACTCCCCTCAATCGCTACATTGTTGACATTCGCAGGCTGACATCATCCCCCTCCTCCTCCTCCTCCACCGCCGCCCGCCTTTCCCATTCACAATAACGCTACGTAAACCGCGTAGCGCCCTCTCCCTCGGCGGCGAGGACGCCTTCGCGCAGAAACAGGCGTAGCGCCGCTCCACGAATAGCGGCTTCACCGGCATCCCCACGCTCAGGCGCACGCGCACCTCCCTCTCCAGCGTTCTAGTCCGTGTCTCTTTCTCGCTCGCTCTCTCCAGCGTCTTCTCCCGGCGGCCTCCCTGTTGTGCTCACGCGCGGCCGAGGGGCAGGCTGGGAGTTGTAGTCCTCGCTCTCGGTGCTGGGGGCTCGCTGCTGATGCGGAGCCCCGCGGGGAGGAGGCTGGGGCGGCCGGTCCAGCGGCGGGGAGGTGCTGCTCTCACGGTTGCAGAGGCGGACCAGGCGCTCCTGTGGATGGGCTCCGCTCCCTTAAAGAAACACAGACACAGAGGAGCCAGGGGCCGCAGGATCCTGGGGCTGGGGGAGCGCAATGGGAGCAGCGATTCAGGCCCACGGGGGCTGCCGGGGTGTTGCATTAAGCGGTGGGAATGACCAGGGGCGCATCAGCTTTGCAAAAACTGTCCTCGGAATTGGTAGGCCTGGCACGAAATCTATCCCCCCGCCTCCACCACCCCGGTGACAACAACGGCAGCATCCTAAATGTTGATTCCAGCGATATTTCACTTGGCCGACACCCCCTCCAGCCCCCAAGAAAACCATCTCCCCAATGCAATTGCCAGCCCGCTGTGTTCATGCACCAGCCCCTCCAAATGATAAGAATAGCAAACACGTCCTGAGATTAAAAAACAAACAAACAGTACATGGTGTGTGTGTGGGGGGGTCTTTGCTTTCTGGTTTTGGAGCCTTCGGGGTGCACTTGATTCACTTTTTACTTAAAAAAAAAAGATTGTTATGCCTTCCCTGAATTCCAGCACCTGGGACATTAAGGAAAATGCCAAAAATCATGAGAGCTAGCACCACTACCGTGAGTACAGGTGAATAGAATTTGGTAAGCCTAGGATATGAGCCTAAGAAAAGGGTATTCCGAGTAAGAGAAAGGTGACCTGCTAAATGTGTCACAGCAGGCTAAGAATCAGATCACATGAGGGGATCTTTCTAAAGACAGGGATTTTGATAACTACGTTTTTTTACATTTTATTGGGTTAGTGGTCTTGGAAAAGAAGATGATCCTAAGAAAATTTGCAGTGAATTTTGATAGTGACTCAGCCGACAAAACTACAGTTAGTAATTATTAATATTTCGGTATTTGTGAATGTTTTGTTTTATGTCAGATAATTGTGTGTTTTCATTGTCTCATTTATCAGTTTTTACTTAATTAAAAAAATGCAAAAGAACAGTTTCACCCTCTTCCAACTGCTCTCAGTGAAGAGGAATTTCTGATGCTCCCTTCCATGATTATATCTGCCATATTTTCGATGCTTCATTAATCGCAAAATACATTCCAAATACACCAAGTTAATGCAATGTATTTTACACAGCATTTTACACAGGATACAGTACGGAGTGTCATCGCTTTGCAATTGATTCTCCACTGTCTTGCACTTTATGTAATCATAAATAGCTGTGCAAAATGAGTGTCAAACATTCTAATTTAGTAGCATTTTACACCCACTTTGCGTAGGTACAAGTGACTACGTCAGCTGCAAGAAAATGGAGAATCAAGCCGCACAACTGTAAATTTCCTTTTTGAGTGTTATTCAAGTAAAATCTTGTTCATAAGTGTTATTTAAGCATGTAAACATGCACATGCTTAGCTTTAAGCACATGACAAATCCTGTTGTTTTCAGTGAGACTACTCCTGTGTTTAAATGTTTGCCGGATTGGGACCTTGTTTGCCTTTATTGTTTATTTATCATAGAGCTACAAAAATAATTTGAAAGGAATGAGAAACAAAAATAAAGCTATCAAGTTACTAGCCATTCAGCATCATTGCAGAGAGCTTCAGACAGGACTCAACATGTCTCCAGCGCCACCAATTTCAAATTTGATATAGTCCATAGTACACCATGCATTTTGAGAGATACAGCCACAGAGTGAATCAAAGCTGAATTGAGTGTGGCAACTTAAGAAAAGGAAATCTAGAAAAAGGGAAATTTAGTCACCTTCTGGCCTGGTTAAAACCACCAGACTAAAGCCATCTGTAATACTGTCCTGTGAAGTTATGCCCATATCTTAAGTTTCTGAAAGGAACAATATTTGCTATTTAGCTTACCAGTTGGTATTTTAAGGTGACTATAATAATATAACTTAAAGTAAACATAAAACTGAAAGCTGTCAGCTCTAATTAAGTGACTTTTGGAATTTGGGTTCCTGACATTTCATTCCATTTTAGTCTCTGGCAAAACTTTCATTGACTTCAGTGAGAACAGGATTGTGTCTACTGGGGTGAATATTCACTGCAGAATGAAGGGAACTAGGAGCCCGATGGGAGTTAGGCACCTATGTGCTTTTAAAAATTCTACTAGGCACTTAAATACCTTTTAAAAATGAGACACAACTAGTCTTAAAGGAAGATGGGTTTTGGATTCCTTGTGTACCATTCAGGAAGTGTTTTTATTAGGGCCGTTTGTATTTGAAAGCCAAAAAATATGCAGGTCTTACAGTAAAACCTGGCATTTAAAAATCTGGACAATCTGCCAGTGATGATTATGAAATAGTGAGGTAAATAGGAAAGTATAATTCAGTGGTGGGCAACCTGCAGCCCACAGGCCGCAGGAAGCCCATCAGGGTAAGCTGATTGCGGGCCGCGAGACATTGTGCGGACGTTGACCATTTGCAGGCACGCCCCCCCGCAGCTCCCAGTGGCCGTGGTTCTCCATTCCCAGCCATTGGCCACTGCGGCCACTGGGAGCTGCAGGGGGCCGTGCCTGCAGACAGTCAACGTCTGCAAAATGTCTCATGGCCTGCAATCAGCTTACTCTGATGGGCTGCATGCAGCCTGCGTGTCGCAGGTTGCCCACCATGGTATAACTGAATGAAATCAGACTTTTTGCACAAATATTATGTTATTTCTCATAATGCATATATTGTATTTTGATTATTTTGTGATTTAGCTTTCAGTCTACATAATGCCAGTAATGAGGCTGCAGGTCCGGCCCACAACATTTTGGCACCTGAGGCGGGGAGCTCAAATGATGCCCCCATACCCCCTCGCTTGGGCCAAAACTTTGAAAGGTCTCAATTCTGCCTTCTTCCTATTCTACTCCTCTCATGGTACTGCTCTGCTACCTACCCCAATAAAGGAGAACTAACAACTTAAAATGCCTTGTTCAAAAATTTTAAATAACACTTAACTTTCAAACACCTGAACAGCAAATGTAACTTTTCTTGTCTGCATAGTAAACACTGGCATTTTTATCTGTTTGAATAATCAAAGTGGTGCTTTCTCCATTGGCAACTGTTACAGGAAGTGTTAGAAATATGCGCAGAGCAACAAAAGCATTTGAAAAGAGGGTGGTCATCTTATTTGTGCACGTATATTCCAGAACAGCCTTTGGAATTGATCCTGCTGAAATGTATCTTGAAAGGGCTTTCAGTTCATCACCTTAATCACTCGCATCAATATCACGCATGTCATCATGTGTCAACACTGTCTGTAGTGCCCTGCATTGCTGGTGTAGGTCTTCTTCAGGTATAGTGAGGAGTTTTGGAATATCATACAACATCCCAAATATAATGTTGTGTTCCTTGAGCTGCATAAACATTCTTCAACTGACTGTATTGCACAATCTAGCACCTGGTTAAAGAATTCAACTTTGAATTGTTGTTTGGGGTCTCTTATGGGATTATCCCATGCCTCATAATGAAAATGTCTTCTTCTTTGGTGATTCTTGTATTCTTGAGTGGGTGGGAAAATAGCTTCAGTGTGAAGTTCCTCTGCCAACTTCTGTGCACTCTTCAGAACGTTTTGAAATGCCTCATCTGACCGGTAAGACTGTAGATATGACTTTGCTTTGTCCAGTTGTTCCATTGCTCCACATATATCAAGGTCAACACCTTGGAGTCTCTTGCTTACATTTACTTCAAACAGTATGTCATGCCACAACACTAAGCCACACAGAAATTTTAAGTTATGTATGTTTCTGGTGATTCCATTTCCCTCTGCCACTGTTCTCCCACGAACAGTTCCTGTCATAGCATTATCCTCCATAATGGCAACTATGGCATCATCTATCTTCCCAATTTGGTGTTTGATAGGCTTTATCGCCTCCACTGGACTTTCCCATCGTGTGGCACTCAGTGGTTTCAGAGTCAGAGAGGATGTTCCCGGATGTTGTGTCAAAATTTGCCATCAATGAGTTGATGCAGAGAAAAATACATAGATGCTTTGAATTACATTAAAAAATTCAGCAGCCTCACTAGAAGCTGATGCTGCATCACTGACCACCAAGTTCAATGAATGAGAACTGCATGGGACAAAAAAAGCTCGAGGGTTTAACTCTCGAATCCGTGTCTGCACTCCTCTGTTCTTTCCTCTCATGTTGGCACCATTATCGTAGCCCTGACCTCTCTGTAATATCATCAATGTCAATAAATTCTAGAAAATGCTCTCCGACAGCCACTATTTCTGGGACATTTTCACTAGGTTCTGTTGTTATTACAAAATGCACCTTTAAAGTCATTTGTTCTGTATGGCTGATATCAGGTGTGCAGTCCAGAATAACAGAGTAATATCTTGCTGACTTCAGATCTGCCACAATCTTCGGTTTGACTTTTGTTGTCAGTAACTGTATGATCTCATTTTGAATTGTTTTTTCAAGATAGTGGTGTGTGTACATTTCTTGGGTGGTGACTCTTCTTAGATACTCCTGGAGTACAGCATCAAACTCAGCCATCAGCTCCACAATTTTAAGGAAGTTTCCATTGTTTGGCACATACAGCTGATCTTAAGTGCCACACAGTGCTAAGTTTTGGGTAGCAAGCATTCTCACAATGGCAATGAGCCTTTTCAGAACATTTTGCCAGTAAAGAGACTCTGATGCAATCTTCTTTTGATGTTGATCATCTATGGTGGCCTTTAACCTTAGTCTCATCTCAAGTTCTTTCCACCTATGGAATGCTCTCTGGTGATTTGCTGCCTTCTCATGGCATGCCAGATTTCTAGCCAGATTTTTCCAGACCTTTGTTCCTGTAGAACCCAATGTGGCTGGAACATTAGACTGGA